ATATGCAAGAATTTTTTTTTTTAATTATGCATGTAAAATGACATTTCGCAACTCCAAAAAATTAAAATTGTCAAATTTATTTTCTCATTTGTAGAGAAATTATATTCGCTAAATCTTTTAGTTACACCAGTTACACTTTACAAATAAAAACGGAAAAAAGTTAGTGAACATGAAAAAGCAAAAAAATTTATGATTTTCTTTCATCTGAAGTGTTGCCCAAATATTTAGAGACCTTTTCATAAAAGTGATTTTGGTCAAATAAATCTTTTTCTTATGGCTATCAAATCAAGTATTCAACAGATCCAACAGTTTTGCACCGACGAAAGAGTTGGATCCAACAGTTTTGCACCGACGAAAGAGTTGGATCCAATTGGATCCAACAGTTTTGCACCGACGAAAGAGTTGGATCCAATTGGATCCAACAGTTTTGCACCAACGAAACAGTTGGATCCAACAGTTGCATTGAAGAGATGCATTCCGTCAACCGGCCATCAACTATTTCAACTGAACTTTCTGTCAATTTTAAACAAAAAGGTCAGCCAATGGTAAAAAAAAAAAAAAAATAAAATGGAGTCAAAAATTTTCTTGACATAGGCCTAGTGTCATTGCATTTTTGACAGCCGGCAGCCGGCAGCCAGCCACTGGTTCAATAATTGATTTGATAGCCATAAGAAAAAGATTTATTTGACCAATAAATGAAAAGGTCTTTTAGCAACACTTCAGATGAAAGAAAAGCATAAACTTTTTTTACTTTTTCATGTTCACTAATTGCCGGCACAGCTGGTAGTGCTTGCACTGCTGGTATTGCCGGCATGTTGAGCAGAGAATAAAATTAAAAATGAATTTTTGCCAGCAAAGGATTATAAAATATTCTAAAGTATAATTTATTTTTTTTAGATGTTCTGTGCGATTCAATGTTAAATTTTTATTTTATATTTAAGCATGCTAAACTGCTACCCATGACTGAAATGCAATACATATACGTAATTAGAATTATTATAATAATACTTACAATAAGACACAACCATCGCATTTTTGTACGAGATTTTATTGATTGTGTTAAAAAAAAAATGCAAATCATGTTTGCTAGAAATTTCCAAAGCAAAGCTTTCAGGCTGTGAAATGAATGGAACACAATGACATCACGGATTGCGAATTGTTCTCTTCAAAACAATGCAGGGAAGAACGGTGGGTGTCAAATTTGAAAAGGGATTACGCCATCAAATCGGGCCTCTGCGCTCGTCTGCGCGCGGTTAATTTGCACACAGAAGCAGCGCAGCTCCAAATCAACCACATGCACACATTCCGGATTACGGCGTTCCGTAAATTATTTGGCATATTTAATTAATTGGGCCTAATGCTACCTCGAGGGTGACAAGAAAATCTAGCCCATAACATAAATAACTTGGCTAAATGACTGTCTGTTTTATTTCAAAGGCGGCGCCGTGCAGCTGCCGCACCCGACGGGATTAAATTCAATTTTCTTCCCGACGAGCGAACCAGCTCTATGAAATCCTTGCCAAATATCGCAAATGGGCTCGCCGGCGTCGCGTCTGCTTCCATTTTTGCACCAAATTTCGCAGTGGAAATGCTCTCGGTGATTTGGCGAGTGCGACGCCGGCAGTAGTTGTTATTTTTCAAGGTTGCCGCAGTCTCATAAAAGAATTGCCTGTAAATCTGGGTAAGTCTTTTGCTGGTTCTTGTTGTTGTGTACGTTAAAATATAAACCAAAATTTTAATCCCACAGATAAAAATATTATTAACAATATTATTTTATTCTTTTTTTAATTTATTCTAGAAAAAATGATTTTATTTTTTCCAATATAAAAAGGAAAATATTCAAAATTTAAATCATAAAATACTTTTAAAGCAGTTGTAAAGCTGGAATGAAAATTAATTTTTAATTAGCTTTAAATTGCATTTATATGAATATAACCTTTTTGAAGGATTTTACTAATGCCCAAATTTAATCAAGCATAAGTATAAATGCATATTTGCACTGAATATTATTCGACATTCGTAAACCTAGATTTTAAAGAATTATGTGAAAGCACTGTTTGCCAAATAAATCAAGCGTTGGAAATACTTAAGAACGCTCAGGCGCTTTTATTCGTTTTAATTGCGGCCATAAAGGCTGCACCCAAGTGCTCAGTATACAGCCACCATAAAAGTCACATTTACCGTGAGAACCGGGTGGCGTGCGATGTTATTTTATTCTCGCCTTCAACATCATAGGCCGAGTGGAGAGATTTATTTTACTGCGGGATTGTCGCCGGGATGCCGCCGAAAACGGACCCTAATTTGCTCTGAGCGTCCACTGTTGATTCTCTCTGCCAGACCGCTGAATCATTCATCACGGGAGAGCGGCGGATAATCGATTTCGAGTGCACCTGTGATAATTATCAAACTTCAAACTGACTGATTTATGCACGAAACGTATTGTGTTGGTGCGTCAAACACAGCGGGCTCATAAGTACCAGTTGTAAAAATTAAAAACAAAACATATTTTTTTCTTATAACGAAGCTAAAATTAGGGGTAAAATGCAACCTGTTCTTCTGACAACCTCTGCGGGTTGCATAAGAAAATATTTATTTTATTTTTATATAATAAAATTTAATTTGCTCATTATTGACCTGAAGTGAATGGGAAGCATGTACGCGGAACGATCTAAAGAAGTTCCGCCAAGATCATTTGCCATAGTGATGCTGATCACATAACCAACGAGTTTCTTCTTTTCTTTTCCTCATCCTCCCTTTCCTTCTTTCTTTCTTCCTTCGGCCAACAGAGCCCGATTGACCTCTCATTGGGGACCTCATCAATTACTGACTGCCCTAAAGGATTTCTTTTACTGTCACAATGACGCGCGGTCATCCTTTATTTACACAGTTATAAAAAGCTGGTGGTCGGTCCACTCGAGCTCCGGCCGGAGTCGCTTCTTTTCGTCAGGTGAGCGTTAAAAATTCAGCGTTCGGCTAATGCGAAAGTGCCGAGTGCACGCCGACCGTTTTTCTCTTTGCTGCTCTCCATTTGACGACCACACCCAGACCGCCAATCTATCAGACACATCTCTCAGCGATTGTCAAACTCACCGACAACGCCCATCACACTCGCTCGCGGCTCAATTTCCGATTATTATTTTAATTGCTGCTCACGGCAGCTGCACGCAAAAATAAACGGATTTCCTTCTCTTTTAACATTTAATTTGCAACATTTTTTTCCAGATTTGGTAGTCTCTGTCAAAAGTAGGACATCATTAACCAGTTTTAGCTTTCAACTGGTCATTTTATGTTTTGATGAAATTCATCCTAACGCGTGCAGTTTATTGCGCGGGATTGCAACTCGCGTTAATCGTCCTCTCTATGTCATTAAAATAATGCGGCCATCAGCGTTTGGTCAAACAGAAGCGAAATGTTTGCCAAGTGGTTTTCACGCGGCGGTGTAAATGAACGTCAGAGCCGTGAGTCTGTTTGAACTTGTATTTATCTCTCCGGTGGTGAAGAGACGTGCTTTTGAAGACGGACGCGCGGTTGTACCGATTCGCCGCTTTGCTAATGATCCCGGACCGAAGTTGAGAGTTGTGGGATGCGCAGAGCAGCTGTTGGAAACGTTTCCTTCTGTCCTTGTGTGTGCACGGTGAGACAAACCGCTTGAGCTCCCTTGTCATCAAATTGACCCTCCCTATGAGTGTCTTGTTCCGCTTTTGACACATTCAACAGTTGTTTAATTTCTTAATCTCAAAGAATGCAGCATTGTATTTAATTTGAAATTTTCGCATAATTTTTAAACACAAATTAAAGACATTTTTTAATTAAAACTATACGTCTTGTCTTGAAAGACAGACATGGAAAATTTAATTTTAAATAGAAATTCATTCAATCGATGCTGTCCTGTAGAATTTTATAAATTTTGAGGTCAAAATAAAATAATTCTATGTAAATATAAAATGCTAAAATTTTTAATTACATAAAAAAAATCAAGTAATACCATAAAAACAATAATAAAAAATTAAATAATTTAAAAGATTTTTTAACTTATTTAATTTAAATTATTATATTTTAAATAAAATCTGCTTGCTACTTATAGCTAGTAAAAATTAAAATTATTTACATAAAAACTTAAAATGATTCAAGATTTTTTTGCAAATTTTGAAGTAAACAGCCCGTTTTCATATTTTCAGTACCTGCTTTGAGTAAATATTCTGTGGAAAAGACCTTCAAAATTAATGAAACCTAATTTTGCGCAGCTCAACTTTGATAAATACGCCAAAAGAAGGAAGGGCAAAGGCACATTATTATTTTTAACCCCACGGCAGTGCAAGCAGCCTAATATGGCTTCGGTCGAGCTCTTTCGAGGAAGGCGCGGCTTCAATCAGTGTAAAGAGCATCGCGCACAGAAAAAGCTCCACTACTTCCTCAGTTGGCGAGTCCGGCTGAATGGAAGCGCTGATCCGTCCTCGGCGTAATCCCCGCCAACTAAAATGCCGGCGACATGCACAAAAGACGGGCTGAAAATTACTTTTTCATGCCTTTCAGCGCTCGCCTAATTTTTACCTTCAGAGAGAGCGAAAAAGGCCCAGATTAGCTGCGAAAAGGTGGATCGTGCGTGTGTGTTTCAAAAAGGATCAGAGAACTCTTGAGAGAACCTCTCTCCACCACGTATACACGTGGCTATATATACATATATGCATTTTCAAATTAATTACACCTCGCTCGCAACCGCACACAAAGGGCCGGTGGATTATCAGCGCACCAAACATGGCGCCCTGATTAATAAAAAATCATCGCTTTTATTAGCGCGCCGCTATTAATCATGTGAATAGCAAAAGTGACGCGCGTGGAGAGGCCCAACAATTGACTCTTGAAAGTTGATAGCACCTTCTGTGTAAAACATGCAAGTTAAGTGTTTGCGGCGACAATTGAAACTCTTTCTCATGGAAATGACCGTGGTTGTGACGTGACTGGGAAAAATTAAAACCAGACAGGAGGTGATGTAGAAGAGAAATGGGAACCTATTTTATTTTCCAAAACAGTCCTAAAGTTTTGAAATGACACTCATATTTTTTCCAACATTCAAAACTACACAGCTACTCTACCAAAATTTCCAAGTTCCCAAAGCTCATCTATTTTGAGCAGATTGATTACATCGTAGCCTTCATAGTATGTTAACAGTTTTTATCGTTTCAACCGTAAACATCAAAAAGGAACAATTTATTATTTAAAGTTTAACATGAAATTGAATGATTTGATTATCAGGTGAATAATGTTGGTGTCGTTTTATTATTCGGGAAATAAAAATAGAATTAAAAATAAATTTTGCGATATTACTGTTGTTACATGTGTTATTATTATTCATTTTAAACAAACATTCGTCCTCTCTTCTATAACACGAATATTTTCATTTCTCTTGCAGGCTATGTTTCGAATAACACGAATATATACGATTTATTATACACAGCAGTTTTTCACCAACTATATTTATATAGAGCCATTAATTTCTGTATATTTCCATATTTATTTGTATTCATTGTAATAATTGATTGGATTCAATCAAAATTTGAGATTTATGTCCTTTTTGCAACAGTCTTGAACCTTGTGACATAATCACGTTCGCACTCTAGGAAGGATAGAAGGTGTCTTGTTCACTGACCTGCCACGCGTTAGCTTCAAAGAGATGAAAAATTATATTGAAGAAAAAAATTTTACATCAAAATAATTAAAATCACTCACCTTTGTAATGCATGTCGCGGTACATACTGGGGCAGTTTTTACCCTAAAATCAAGCAAAGAGACCATGAAATATCAAATTTAAAAAAACCTTTGGGAGATAATATTTTATAACAAAAATCAAGCTTAAAGGAATTTCTCCTTTTTCACAGCTTTTGGCACCATATTCGGAAGTTCAGAGAGGCATTTCGAAACGAGAGCGTTTCCCCGAAGGTAAGTGCGTGAAATTTTAATCAGCTTTCAGGACTGACGGAATGGCAAATGCCCGTCCAGAGAGGCATTAATGATAAATAGCCATGAGTGAGATAAGAGCCCTTGGCAGTTATTGAGAGAGGAGTCGAGAGGTGAGAGTTTTGTTTGCTCGCCGCTAATGGATCCCTAATATCCTGCCGCTTCGCAAACTATTTCTATTGATACACCCCCGAACCGACCGACTCGCCCGCAATGCACGGCGAACCGCCTTTGTGCTGATTAAATATTATCAGAACAACACCCAACCCTCGATTGCCTTCCACTGACCAAAGGGAAGTGAGATTGCTGAGAGACCTGTCGAGCAGATTTTGTAGAAGGAAGTTCGCCAGTGGACCATGACCATTGCATTAATTTGAGCATTGTAGAATTGTTTAGGGGTGATAATTTATTTATGCGAATAAATTTCACTTGGTTTTCTGAACAGTCCCCTTATGCATAACTTTAAAATCGATATAACTTACAATAAATTAATTACGTGATAAATTAAATGATGCATCATTAAAACTGTTCATGCTATGCAAGCTGCTTATTTCATTAGAATAAATTGGTTTAATTAAGTCTGTATTTATATAAATATATTTTAACATTTTATTTTTATTAAGTATATAAAAATTTCTTTTCTGAATAATCTACAATAAAGCTACATGCATATAAAATTATAAAAAAAATATTTAATCTTAATGAAATAAAATTTTAATTTATAGTTTAAAAATACTTGCAAATTATATTTTTTTGGAAACAAACAATAATAAAAACTAAAAACAGTATGTTTAATCTACATTAAAACATGTATGTGCTCTCTTTAAAACTAAATTATTAAAAAATAGGCTGTCGCGCAAAACAACGTTTACTATACTTAATTTAAAAATAAATGCAAACTTGACTCCACTATTAATTCGAACAATAATGAAAGTGGTAAATAACCATTTTATTGTCTAGTCCTCATAAATTATGCAGTTATTTGTTGTGAATATTATGGATTTGAAAATACTTTTCAAATGAGAGATAAATAATAAATCATAATTCTTTTTCAATGCTCAAATAATCATGCTTTTATGATTAAAATTGTTTTAATGCAAACAAAATAATCACTAAGCTGATAAGAAGTTTTAAGCTTACATCGAGCAATACTTTCTACCGTCCCTAAGTTCTTTAAACAACTTTGCAAAAGTTCGACTCTCTAACCGCAATCATCGTTTGCGTTCCACGAGACATGCGAGTACTTATTTGAAATTCCTCCCACTTTTGAGTGCGTCGCTTGAGTAAACGTGGCGACGCTAAATTTACATCTATTTCCAAAGTTTGCACGTTCACTCTTAGGTGGTGGGCTATTTACCCAGCTAATTACGCTCCTAAACACCCCTCAAGACGAGTCTATTAGTGCGTGTTTGTCCTACCTGTTTATTAGTGAAGTCAATGTTGGTTCGCACAGTGCGATGGTACAGCGGCTGCAGGGGGCGCACATTGTTGCCAAGGGGTGCTTTGGGGCTCTCCTCGGGGCCCTGCATCAACTTGCGCAACGCATACAACTGGAAAAAAAACATCACGAATTTCAAATTGAAACTTCGAATTCAGTGCTTATGATTAGTCTGAAAATTTACAAGACTTGAAAAACAATTATCTTGAAATTTTTAAATTATGTAGAAAATAAGTATTATAGACTTTTTATAATAAACGTGAATAAACTGTTGTTTTTGTTTTAACTTTGTGAAGAAAACTTGTTTTTGTTTTTAATTTTACTTCTTATTGCATAAAATTGGTAACTAAATATTTAAAAATTTAATTACTGCAAATTACATTAATTATTGCAATTTTAAATTTTTGTCTTGTCTGGCACATTTTTAGGCTCATCAATGAGAATGTTTCCCTAAATTAGCAATTCAAACTCCCTAAAAGGTAATGGGCAAGACCTCGCAGATGTGTGCAATGTAAGCACAATCACAGTGACCGCGGGCAAATCGCTCCATGGACCGACAAATGATTATTCTGTGTGAAATCAATCTGCGCGATTAAAGCAAGCGTGCAACGGGCAGACTCGCCTCTTGTTTGGTGATGTAGATGGGTTTGTTTAGGATGACCCAGACGGCCGTTTCCCAGCAGCCAGGGTGCGTGGTCGAGCCCTCGTAGGTCATGTAGTGGTCCGTGTCTGGCAAAAGGCTACGCAGCTGCAGGTGCTTGATAGGCGTGTGTGAGCCCCTGTAGGTCAGCTTGCTGAACGAACTCGTGATCACTCGCAGCTCAGGATTGGGCGTGTCGCCGATCTGACAATTTTGAAAGGGGCATCATCAGATTTAATTTAATTTTAAAGACAAAACAAATTATATATATTTTTTTTTTAGTACAAAAGTTTAAACTTCAATTCAAAGAAAAAAAACCAAAACATTTGGGTAAATTGTGGTAGTCAAAAAGTGTAAATAGGAAGAAAATGAAATAAAAAAAATAAGAAGCATCATTCTAATTCTTTTACCTGCACCATGATAGACACTCCAACAACCCCTTGTGCTCTGTGCTGTGCTTCAGTCATATTGCGATACAACTCAGAATTGTAGCCATAGAGCTGCAACTGTAACAATCATAATTAAAATAAATTAAAAAAATTGCATAATTCTTGACATTTTGAACAAATTATTAAAATTTAAAAGAGTTTTGTGAATCATTTAAAAAATGAATAGAGCTCCACACATTAACAATTTGATATGGTCAAGCTAGTTTGTAATTGCATGATAAAAAAAACTGAACGATGAAATGGGTTAAAAAATGTTTAATTTTCATACAAAGGCCATATGAATAAGTCTAGTTTATCGCAAAAAAGAGCTCGGTGGTGTAGGTTTAATCGCATCCAATCAAATGCACGGTGCAAATCTCCATATTCCGCAGCAGGCCGCGTTTCCGTGTCACTTGCATTTGCGAGCGACTCGTGTGCACATTCGCACGGTTTTATCTGGCCGACGAGTGAGTTGCATTAAACTTAATAATGCAATAATTAACAATGCCGCCAGACTCGACACCTGCACATTTCGCAGGGCGTTGGTCGTGCGAATAAAGGCCTCGCCTGTACTGCAGAGAGCGCAAGCGAATAATGCTGATAATCATTGCAGCGTGCAGCATTAACTCGATCAGTCGGGGTGCAGGCAACAATGGACCGGGTAATTAAATAAATACGGCGTATCAATCAAACTACTCGCTGTAAGTTGGCTAATTGTGCACTGCACTGTCTGCCAACCAGAGAGTAATTTTAATCAAAGCAGATAATTTTTTGTTAATTTTTTTCCAAAATATTGTTTAAATTTTTTGAACTAAAAAATTATAATATGTTATAATTATTTTATTATTTATCATTAAATTTATGCAATTTCAGATAAAATTATGGCATTATGCAAACCTAAAATTAGATTTAGGTAAAATCACAATTTCAGATTGTAGTTGTATGTTTGCAAAATCATCTATCTATTAAATATATGTGTATGTATAGCATGAACAATAAATTTAAAAGTTGGCAACAGGCTGCTAACTTTAAAATAAATAAGGTTTCGTATATTTCTACTGATTTCTACTAAAAATTCTATTCAGAACTTGCTATAAACCCATCTAAACAATATCAACATGAACAAATTAATTAGTTGCAAATAAAACTACTTTGATGATTGGAATTGGAATGGAAATCTTGCTGAACATGACTTCAATATAAAACTGAATTTACGCTTTAGGCATTGGCAAATTCCGCACCGATCAATAGGTATTTCCAATTTTGAGAGGAGGCACACAGCTACGCATACACATACACACGCCACCGACTAACAAGGGTGGATTTCGGTCAAAATTCTGCCGTCCGCCTCGCCGTCATTATCCTTTGTCCACCACGCACACCAGATACATATGCAGTCACCTGCTGATGAGGGGCTAATTATTCTAGTTTGTTTGCACAGCCATTGCGGCCGGGCGAGGTCCATTGTTGCCTCGACGTTTGGTCTCCGCACGACATCCATTATTGGCCGCCTATTAGGAGGCCGATCGTAAATTGTCCGTCGTCCGAACGAACGGAACGGAACGGGAAGTTGCATGAAAATTTAATTACATTTGCATAAAACGCGCGTTACGCGATGCACGCTGTTAATTATGGTTTGCAGAGCAAGTGCCGGAAATATGTCCTGGTGGATTCTTGCGAATTGCATTGGATTTGTTGTTGAATTGTATTTAGGTTTTAGTAATCATGTTAAGTATTATCATCATCATCACACAGCAACCTGTTCAAAACTCCAACTAAATGAAAATTTAATTGAAATTAACAGCGATAATTGCATGGATGCTAATAGTGCTTGCATGATAGGGTCAGATATGATATGGAATTCCAATTATTTTATATATTTACATGAAGCCATGAACTCAACAGACCAAATTGTTTAATTAATATTAAATTTGAGTGTTGTAATTGAGATTATTAAAATAAAAATTTAGATAAATTAAAAAAAATTGAGTTGCTGTTTACTCATAAATAAAGTTATATCAATTTTTTTTTATCCAGAAAAACTTGTTAATGTTTTATACGAGCGGGTAATATTTCTCAAGTAGTAAATCAGAACAATTATTATTATTTAAGTGACTTTCTTAATTAAATTATTTACATTTTAATATACACATATAACGGGAAAAAATTTAAAAATTAAAAAAAATTACAGTAACTGCTATAAGATTTTTGTATTAACTCTCGCATTTGAAAAATTTAGGTCTTGCAAATAGTTTTAGAGTTGGAAAAAAAATTATTATGAAAATAAAAACTAAATTATCACTCTTCATTCCTTCAATTATTCAGTGGTAGACGGACTCAATCAGTGGCACTCTGGTCGATTTGGCACAATGAATTTTCTCTTTCCCACCGCAATCCGGCGTGTCCACCCGCAATGTGCTAATTCAGCGGCGGGAATCATTCGGCTCAACAGGCCCGGCCAGCCTTAAGTAGGCTTTTTAGGATGCCGGGTCACGCATTCGGCGCGCCATCGCATTTTATTTGTCGCGCCGTCCGCGTAATAACATGCATAACGCACGCACGCTGGCACTTCGTAACTTTTTATGACTTATGAATATGAAAATCGCGTCGCTTTTATTAGTCTCCGCACTCACTGTCTCAGCCCCGCCAAATATATATGGTGTATTTTATTTATCTTCCCTAATAATGCGCGCACTCGGCGAGATGCATTACGTTTCCGCTGTTATGTGACACGCAAATGGACTCAAAACTCGAGGCAAATGGCAAAGTTCTGTCTCATTTTTCACTTGCAGCTGCTGCCTAACTTGAGTAACGAAAGCTATACAGACGAAAATAAAAACGGAAAATTCTGTTTGCCACTTTGCCCTGGGATAAATCTTACACAAAGCGAAGTTGAGACGGAAATTCGAAATTGTAAGAACAAAAAAAAAAGAAGAGTAAAGATTTAGATGAAATTAAAAATATTTTTAAATAACACAACTATAAACTAAAAAAGCAAGAACTCTCTGCTATTTAATTTATTCATCGTTCATTTTAAGATGTATATCAGCCAAATAGAGATTTTTTTGTTTCATACCAAATTTTGAATGGCTTTTTCCAAATATCTTTTAAACAGCTGTAAATAGCATTGATTTAACTTACCTCAGCAGGAAACGCGTATCCGTGAACCCTGTGCTCAGAGCCTTGGTGGTTTTCTGTTCCATAATGAATGTAGATTTCCTCGAATTGGTATCGATACGCTAGTGGACCACCTGTGATATTGATGTGATGCTTCGTGTCCTTGTCAACCCGCATCACTAGCGACTGGCCAGTGTTCCATAAGATGCCACTTATCTAAATTAACAATAAATATAAACACAATTTGAGGATATTTTCAATAATTGAAAATTTTATGACTAAAATCAACAATATTGTGAAGAAAATAAACCTCCAAAATAGAGTGATTCAGCAGGGGTTAAATAATTGATGAATTGTATGGCTTGGTTGACAAATGCCTTAATCCACTTAAATCAATCAATTACCTTGTGTTTATCAATATGGAGCGACCTTAAGTGAGGGTCGTAGAGTAACGACGTGGGCTCCACGTTGACAGGTGATTGCCTTCGGCCTTTATTGCACAAGTTCCATTGAGGATTAATGAGGCCCCAAAACGCCGGGCCTGCGAACAGAAACGGAAAAAGCTTTACAACCTGTGTTTATTTGCCGTGTTCTGCCGTAACCGACCAAAAAGCATAATACTTTGGCATTTGCCGAACTCAACATTTACATTTTGTATATATAGCAGTGGGTGGAAGCGGTGGGTCTATTTGCCGAAGCGAAAAGTGAGAGCAGAAGCTCGTTTTTTTATGTTAGTTCATAATTTTTGGCGGTAAATTGCCGGCGTGTGATAAAAATAATTGATGAGTCGGCCATAATTCACGTGTTTGACAGATTTCAGTTGCGCGCCGCGGGTTGTTCATTGTGCCGGGGCCGTATTCGATTCCACGAGTGTCACAACAGCCGAGGAAAAATTGCCGCGCGTGTCGCAAATAAAAAAGCGCCATTAGTCATCTTAGCGGTCGCAACGAGGAAAGAGAGCGAAAGCGCTTTCTCAGAGGCCATGCAGATTCGGCAGATTGCACTTTTCTGCCGCGGCAAATCGATTTACGACACCTAGCGGAGTTCATAAATTATTGTTGCCACTCGAAGGGCGGCGGCTCGAGCAAGCCCGTGGCGAGAATGTGTTTGTGGGTCTTGTGCTCTCTGGCTCCAAATTAAATGATGCAATAATATTTGCAGAGTGAAAGGACGAGGGGAGCGCCGGGAAAAAAGTAGTGAGAAGCATCTCTCTCTTTTGCCAAGCATTCACCTGGGGATTCTCTTGTTTTCTCCAGGCTCGAGATGTCACCCCGCTCGGCCGATGTTGTTCTCGCACCATGAAAAATGAGGTGCTCTTTTTAATTGAAAACTTCCTGATTACACTCACAGCATTATGATATTTAAATTTTAAATAGTACACAATTATTATTTCAACCAATGCTAAATTATTAATATATTCCCAGTTTATAAATATACTCGGTTTTATTTGCTGAAACTTAAGGGTTTAATTCTCACTGTTAAAAATAGTGAAGGAATGTAAAATAAAATTTTCTTCTGGCTTTGGCACATTAAAATTGTCGCACATTGAGATGAGATAAGGCAAATTTACTTTTTCCATATTATAAAATCGACAATAAAAATTTGTTTAAAATTATTTATAAATGTCACATATAACCAATATATTTATGTATTTTTGGCCAATTTTACTGCTGTAAGTTTTCAGAATCAGTTGACCCATTAAATTTAAATAATAATAAATATATAATATATGATTAAAAAATTAAAAAGTTATTTCCTAAAGATTTAAACAATGATAAATTAAAATTTTTTAAAGTTAAAAATCACTAAAAGTGATAATATAAGAATAATAATTGTTTTAAATATTTAATCTTGTTTAATTTTTATGCATTCACTTAATATAATATGTTGTGCTTCAATGTAAAGAGACGCAATTCAATAATTTCCATAGTATTTTTAATGTAATAAGTATTTAATGTAAAGTTTATTATTGATTCAATTGTTATATCGTTGATTAATGAGACTGTTTGATCTTTGTGAACACAAGCGTATGCAAATTTTACCAAGTAGTGTAAAACTGCATGTTGCATTAATTAAACGGTGTTTCACACCACGTCCCACGCCTTGCCGTGCAGAAAATAATGCGACTTTCATTCATTACTCGCGCGGTATGCAACCGGCACGACACCGCCGCTGACGAAACTCGTTACGCAAAATTAATATCGCGAGTATCGCCTTGCTGCTCGGAGATTTATTGTAATTTCCGCGGCAGAGGCGCAGCGTGACATCCAATTTGAGCTCGGTTCATTATTTATTTCCTCGCCACTCGATCTTACTCAGGTACACACAGAGAGAGGCACTCGAGTGTGGGATATTCCGCGAAGAGTTGAAAAATATATTGATCACTCGACATGCATTTTTAATTCGCCATCAGCCGAGGCTATTTTTCAGCCGAGGCCGATTTTTCTTGGCACGGCTCGTGGGATGCGCGAATTATCAGCAGGGATCATGCATATTTCAGCAGCTGTAGGTAATTTCGTCCCAAATCACCTTGGACGAAATTTATTTTGAATTAAGCTGTCGCCCCCGCCGCACACACGTGCGTCGTCGCCGCCGCCAAGTTTCGAAGTTATTCTAATCCAGTTACGGACTTTTCAAAGTCTAATTAATTTTTGGCTTATGCCGACGCTCACAAGAGGCGAGTGAAATAAAAGACGGGCCGGGGAGGAGAGTTGAGGAGATTGTCGGCACAAAATTAAGAGGATTGGCTGCCGCTGAACGCAAACTTGGAAATGGAACCGCTTGAAACATGAGCCGTATTTTGCATTAAGTGCACCCACGACCATCTTCATTGTTCGCTCCGAGAATAGAATGTGACTGGATAAATTATGGTATCATAGCAGCATATACTACTGGAGCATAATTTTCTTTTAAGATACGTTGTTTTAAGCTTATTCATTTTTCTCTCAATATTTTCTTACAAATTGATATGATTAATCAGACTTAAATATTTCCTGTACAGCAAGCATTAACCAAATTTTTTTACAGCTAATTGATATTTTTCCTATATTGTGATCAAAAGTATGCAGCTTCAAAAGAAAACAAAAATGTAAATTGTATAATATTTTCAAAGAATATCTTGTATTTTTTTTTTTTTACTTCTTATTATATATTGTACATTAAAAAAATTAAAATCAAAGAAAAAAATAAGGACAAAAAATAAAATGCATTTTGCACGATATTAAAATAATAAGTATTTAAATTGTATTAATACAAAATCAGGGTTTAATCAAATAAAAATAATATACCTGCAGTTTAAAATCTAGATTTTCTTTTTTCTGTATCCTTTATACCTTCAGAGCCTTGAAAAATCTGATGGTGTACGGAAGAAAAATAAAATTAATGTACGACAGCTAGCTTCTTAATTGCTTTTTAACTCATATTCCTTGCAATTTTCGTCTCCGCAAGCGCGGAAAAGCACTTGGAAACCACATTTAGCTTTTTTCCAATTAAAAAGCCTATTACGGGATTAATATGCGCTGCACAGCAAGAATATTTAAATATATTTAGGTGGAAAACCTGATGCGCGCGCGTTCTTAATTATTTTCTAAACGCCGCCACGCAATTAAAAACAATGCGCCGCGCCGTGAGTGGATTTATTTTTCTCGTCTGCTCGCGCGGCTAATTTGCATATAAATCTGGGTCTTAATGAAAGTGAAAGGCGCTACATCAAAAGGTGCTCGAGCAACAAAGGCTGCTAAAGGATGCTAATTTGTAAAGATCTGCTCTGGCTTGACTATTGTGCGCACAAGCGGGGCAGAGAGAAAACTCTCGCACGCCGGAAACTGCAAAGGAGGCTCCAAAACAAAGTGGGGTGGCCCGAGTAAATACACACCTGCCCGCAAACACTCGCCTCCTGGTGCCGGAAAATTGGCTGATCTTTCGTTTGTTGCGGGGGAGTGCAAAGGGGAGAAATTAAGCGAACACATTAGTTCCTCCACGTCTTTAAGTCTTTGTCGCAAGAGAGTTGAGATACTCAGAAAAGGGGGCGCCACGCTTAATTACTCACTCGGGATTCTCAACTTGGTGCCGAGAGTCGTTTAGCGCGCGGGATTAGTCATTGTTAAATTTTAATTTATTTTTTTCGCACATTTCATGTTAAAGAGTTACTGGGTTTTGCTTACTAATCACAATAAGAGTTTCAATTTATTAAATCAGCTTCTTGTTTTCATTTGGAAATTGCAAAGTATAAAGTGCAATAATTTCTTAATTAAATTAAAGATTGAAAATTATGAGCTCAAGAATATCTTGGCTATGCTGGGCAAATTTAAATTTTAAATAATTATTTAAAATATTACACCTCTATTTTATAAAATTATATTAACATAAAGCAAAACAACCTAAATAAGAATAACACCTCTTCCAAAATACAGAGCTCGAAGTAAATTAATTTAAAAATTTGTAATAAATAATTTTACATTTTAATATTCAACTTATTGAAATCATTAATTTAATTATTTATCAAATCAAGAAAACAAATTTAACTAATGAGTAAGCAATATTAAAATTAAATATATGAAATTAAGAAATATAGATAATTCAATTAGTATTGTAGTAAAAAATATTTAAAAATGTGTATGTTCTCTTGTATTTTAACCATAAAATATGATTAAATGAATTTATAATAATTAATAATATAAATTTGCCAAATGCAGCAAGGCGGACTCGAAAGATGAAGATCTTTTACTTATACGTTTGTAAAATTTATAACAAAATACAGAAACGCCGCTTATACACATTAGAATTTGTCGCCTGACAAACAAAAGAAAATCAATTTTCAGGATGTTCTAATTGAGATTCCGCAAACGATCGCACCCACGTCACGAGGACAAATTTTCATGCTCAACACGCCTCCAGAGAGACGAAAAATGCAATTAGCATTCAAAATCCGCGAGCTGCATAAATACTCAGGTCTGCGTGTGTCTCTCCCCGAGACGCAAAATTAAATTTGCATCAGCTCGAGCAAATCCATTAACCCTGAAATAAAACGAGCTTATATACAAATGCATTATTTCGCGGGGCCAACCAGCGTAAGCGGCGGAGACATAATGAGAAAGAGACAGCCAGCAAGAAAGACAAAGCAGAGGAGGCCGAAGATTGCATTTTAAATGGAATTGTTTAGAAAATTGGATTCCGCGTTTTAATAACGCAGGTTTCTCTTCTCCTCGGCTGTCAACCCCCGGCGACGCGGCCCGCCAAAACCTGCCGTCGCCGCGCTGTTTTTATATATTTTTTTTTCATTCCGCTCGGAGAATTATGTACGTTTTCAGCTCGGCGGTGGACGGGGTGCTGCATTTTAATTATGGATCTCGCCCAAGTGCACGCAAAAATTGAATCATTCGCGGCTCCGCCGCTTTCGCGGGTCACTGGCTCGTTTGATTTATTTATTTGATCAACGGCGCAATTAGAGCGTGGGTGCTAAACTCCCCCAGTGCAAACACTCCGCCGGCTGGATTTGCACGTTGGAGCGATTACTCTTGTGTATTTTTGCCCTTGCTCTTC